GGGCATTCATCAGCTAATCTCTGAACAAGATGTCCCGAAGAAAAATTAGCAAAGGTAATGGCTCTGGGTTAACCAGAACCTGGTGGGGCGTGGGTATCGCAACACACGAGACTTCCATGATCGTATTCCAAAATTGTTCGGGAGGAACCTAACCCTCAGCAAGCGACTAGGGGCTCATCCCCCTCCCATATTTGAAAGGCGTATGTGAGACCTAGCCAGATTGCTCTCCGTGGAAAGGGGATATGATGGTTCTAGCGGGCCTGTATTGCCTTCCCGACCGATCGTTGGAGTCATTCCCTCGGCTCGTCTACTGAATTATGTCCCTTCTTGTTCGTCTGTGGGTGCATAAGCTGGGATGGTCATTGCTCCTGTCTGGAAAAGGCGAGGTGTGCGTGTGGCGCCTTCGTCGAACAAGGAGACAAAATCTGATGATGTGGGTCTTCATCCTCGTAAAGTGTGTAGGACTGTATCTAAGAGCAGGCTTCTTGGCAGCATCGGGGATGTTCTTGGCAACAAGTTCTTGATGTCTGTGAAAAAAAATTAAGTGGTGATCCCAGATTCTATGACATCACCTCCTCTATCATTTGATATAGTCTCCCCGATTTATCTTAGTTCTGACTCCACATTTGGGGGTGCATTAGGTTCACCCGTGGGTTCCATTCAGTCAAAGAAGCCTTTAGCAGATGACAGAATAGGAACTGCGCCTAGCTCCTCATGTTCCAAAGCTTATGCCCCAGGTTGGCCGATTATTGGGTATTCTTTACTATCAGATGATACCAATGCTTAGGAATGGAGTATCTATGCTTATTCCACGGCAACGATGAGATTTCTTGCAGCAAATATGGGGTTCAAGTTGTTGGTGACCGTCGTTATGCTGCAGCCCAAGCTTCTGCTCTGATGGTTGCAGCCGCTAACCGGGTTTGCCGCGATGGGGAGACCAAAGCGCGGTTGAGACCTTTGTGCAATACCATTGTAACCATGAAGGAGAAACTCTAGGATGCATAGGCTGAACGTCACATTCTTTCTGAATAGATTTGTGTTCTGGCCAGCAAGAAAGGCATTCTGGAGGAGCATGTGCTCACTCTAGAAGACCGAACAGAGTGCCTCGAGGATCAAGTAAGCTTTCTGACTCAAGAAAATAACGTCCTGGTGAATAAATTAACCTGGTGCCAACGTCAACTGGATCGAGCACGTGTTGATAGAGCCATTTCTCGGGGGTGCAATGGGTGCTAGAAAAAGGAGTGGTTCGTGCGATCGACAGAGTCATTGAGAGCACTGAATTCGCCAAAGGGGTCCAGGATGTTTGTGAGGCTTGTGAAGCACTTGGGTTTGAGAAGGGGAGACAATTAGGTGAGTGATTTGCGTCTTCTGGTAAATCTAAGGTCCCGGGTACTGGCCAAGTGGCGAACAGACCCAAGGAAGTCATCATTGCCCTTACATATTTTGTCGAGACGGATTTTGCTGGCCACTTCTGTTTAGGGGAGTTAGATTATGATGGCTTCCGCCGATTTTGTGGCAAGAGGAGCCAGGAAGATTCTTCCTCATACTCAAAGGGTTGATTTGTATATGCCCCCTTGTTGGTTTTGAAATGGATGTGCCTTCCCATGCACTGTTTACAAGGGAAGGGATTGTACATTTTTTCATGTATTGTCATGGAAGTGCTCTCTTACTTTTTACTTTTGTTGTACGTGCGTGTATGTACATTTTGATGATTTTATTTTGTAATGAAGTCAAGTTATGGATGTTCGACGTTTCTACTACGATTTGTTTTTTGTATACTTTCCCTTATTCTAGGTTGTACATCGTATTGTCTAGTGTGCCACAAACGTCGCATAGTTGCTACTACTGAGCTGCGCTTCGTTGATTCGTGTGTTCAGTCGGGCTTAATGTGTTAAGTCGTGAGATGTTAGCTACTACTGAGGACTATATTGATGGTCTAGCTGCCAATACAAATGTCGAGATTGTCACCTCGAATCCTTATATTGTTATATTATTAGGGAAAAGGTTATGAACCTTTTAGAATCCCTTTCTCTTGTGCCTTTAATTGTAATTTGTACATTCTCAGCTCTGAGATGTTATTGGCACATTGTAGGTAAAGATTATGACTCTTTTAAGACCTACGGTTGCATTCTTGCATAGATTTTGTTCAAGTAGCGTAGGTGATCAGCCATTGTTGCTACTTAGAAAATATACAAAACCTCTTTACTTTTTTGAAATTTAAACAAAATTTTGGAAGGCTCTTTCGAAATGCAAATTATAAAAGAGAGGACGCAAATCGATAGACACTTGGTATTTAAGTGTGCATGCCTGGCTTTTGCGTCAGCATCGGGAGTATGGTTATCCTGTGTGGAGTTAAACCATGCTCCCTGTTGGGTGGTGATGTCGTTTACTTTTTTGCAATTTAAACAGAATTCTAGAAAGCTCTTTCAAAATGCCAATTATATTAATCTTTTTAGAATGAAACAAAGGACATAAGTCGATAGACACTTGGTATCGAAGCACCGGGGCGCATTCCCGGCTTGCGCGTCAGCGTCGGGAGTATGGTTATCCTGTGCGGAGTTAGACCATGCTCCCTGTTGGGCGATGATGTCCTATCTTCACCTGATGTGGATGGGCCTTCATGGGTCGAGGCTTCCTCTTCCTTCCCCTGGCGGGGCCCGGTGTGGGGGAACAATGTGTCACTTTACGAGCTCTGTGGTTGTTGTCGCCTTCCTTTCTTTTTGACCTGGCGAGCACTGCAACTGTGGAAGGTGTCTCTGCTTGGCCGGGTGAAAGTTCAATTTGTGCAGTTCTATAAACCTATTCCCCAAGTAGTGTGTTGAATTAGCGGAGGAGCTATTTTTCTTTCGAAGGTTTTGTTGGTGCTCTTCTTTGGGAAGACTTGTGCGCCATAGGGAATAACATTTTGCTTTTGTTGGTGGTGTTTCATGTGCTCACCTACTATGTTTTGAAGAACTTTGGTTCACGTTTTCCATTAGACAAGGTCTGTTTTGGATTCGAAATTGCTCTTGTGCGAGGCTTGTCACGGGTGTCAATTATTGTCCACGCAGGTGCATTCGCCTGTGGGCGAGCGTTTCTTCGTTGTGTATTTCGCACCCCATATTTTAGTTGGGCAATCCTTGGATTAATGTTAGTTTCTTCCAGTGGAGGATGGGTTGTGAGCCGACTAAACACGTCTCATCGTCTCTTCTTTGATTCTTGGGTACTCGTGCTTCAGCAAATTTCCAACAGGAGGTCTCTGCCTTTTGGTGACTGCCGTTTTGACGCAATCGGGTTTCCTACCTTGCTTCACGTTGAGCATCACACATGTTGGTTGGTTTAGTCTCTATTATCGTGGCTGATCCATCACTTGTACTAAATTTGATGACATCGTGGATGGTAGATGGAATTGCTCGCAACTGGAAAAGCACAGGTCGTCCTAAGAGAATGTTGTGTTCAGTTGGATAGTTGATAACCAAGAAATCGAGCACCCTTGTCATCTCATTTGCCTCGTCATGGCTAACCAGAGTGAACGGGAGTCTGATTTTTCCCATTGGCCAGATGTGGTGACCAGTGAAACCGACTAGCGGGCCCTAGCGCGGTGGTTGGAGGTACTCTTTTCATTCGATGGGCAGTTGGCTAAGGCAATGCTCGTAGATCACGTTGACTCTGCTTCCGTTGTAGATGTAAACTTGTTCATCACGGTGTTGACTAACGAAACCGGTGATGTGCAATGGATCGTTGGGATCCCAATGCTCTGGCCTTGGGTCGTTCATCGAGAATGCTACTTTGAGGATGTTTTGGTGGTATGGCCTTGCATCGGGATATCAGATTTGGCGGTTGGTGCATGGGCGAGGCCCGGTGATGCTGAGTATCTCCGCTCTTTTTTCTTGGTCTCTTCCTCCATCCTTTTGATTTCTGGGCTGATGTTTATCCTCGTCGAACTATTCCCTGAGGTCTTTTGCTATATCGACAATGTTTCCTACTAGTTGTTTTTCATCAATCTCCCTCTTTAGCACTGTACACTCGTTTGTATCATAAGTTTTTCTTTTATGGTACTCACAAAACTTGGGTTTGTCATTGTTTTCCTTGACTAGGGCCTTGTTGATCGCATGAACGTCGGTATGACCGCTTTTGCTCTCGTCCCTATAGAACAGTCTGTACCGTCTAGACATATGTCGTGGGTGACGATTGTGTCACTGCTCGTCGCCCTCTTGCCTTCCCTGCTGGGTCGAGATTGTCGTGATACTGCCTACTCCTGCTTTGCATATGCATTGGTTATAGCTTTGATATTGGCCTCTTTTCTCTCTTCGCATTCGATTTGCCCCGGGTATTTTTCAACACGAAACTTGAGTTCATCCTGGAATCGGGGAACGATTCCCTGCATCTTCTTTGATAGGGGCCCTGGGAGTAAACCTTGGGTGAAAGCACTTGTTACCAGGAACTCTTCATGTCCTGGAACATTCAATGTTTCCATTATGAACCGATCATAATATTCACGGATTGATTCCCGTTCTTTCTGCTTGCAAGCCATTACAAAGTTAGCATCCCCCTTGTCTTTCCTCAATTGCATGAAATTGTTGAGGAAAAGGTATTTCAGTTACTCAAAGCTGGAGATGCTACCTAGTCTCAGAGATTTGAACCACTTGCCAGCGTTGCCAGTGAGGGCGCAAGGAAAATAAGTGCAAGTGAAGCGACGATCCATCTTGAGGGAAGTCATCGTCCACTCATAATTATCAATGTGGTCGTCTGGATCTGTTGTATTGTTATATTTGGGCATGTGTGGGATCATCGCCGTGTGCAGAATCGCATATTGCATTAGTTCATTACTGAAATTAGAGCTAGCGTTGCGCATGGGATTGTCCTTGTATGAGGATAACATTTCGTTGTAAGCCATGTGTTGTTGTATTTGGTACAGGCTTGCATACATTTGGCTATGCATAGTCGCAAGTGAGATATATTGATGCAGAGGCAGATTTGGTATTGGTCCGAATTGTTGGATGTCGTGTTGCCCTATTAGAGGAAGCATATATGAATGTGCTCACATGTATTGATGCGCATTCAGGTTGAACGGTTGAGCGGCTGCTACGAGGGGATTGGCTTCGGATTGAACTGGGAACTGAACACCAGATCCGGAAGAATTGGATCCCTTACCCACCAGGATTTTCATGCTTGCAACTTATGGTTAAGTCGGTGTATGGATGAAACCTGGGATCTATTGCACAGATGAGTTGAAGATCGGTTGTTGTTGTACATAGAGGGGCATATGGGGCAAGCCTGTCATGGTGGTGTGTGGGTAGACTGTGTAGGAAATTTGTGGTTGTGGTTGGATGGTATGGGGGATCCAAGTCCTGGTGCCGGAGGTGTACGAGAGAGACTGTTGTTGTGAGACAGGGTTCCCTGTTGGTTGTGTTGCAACGATTTGTAGAGTTGCAGTTACGATTGCAACTAGTGGGATTAGGTTGGTTGCAGGGCGCCATAAACTGGCTGCGGGGATTATCGTCATCACTACTGTGGAGCTCAGTGGCGATTGTGAAACTGGTGTGAGATTTGATGTGTGTTCCTCCTAAACGGAAGGTTGTCCTCCCTCTAGGGACTGCATTGGACGCAACAGACTTTTCTCTAGTATTTCGAACACTATTAGGATTTTACCTGCCATTGTTGCTCTGTGGATTTGTTTCATGAGTGTATCGTTCTAGAGATACGGCCGGATGGTGCCAGATGTTGTGATATGTTTGAGACGGTAGAGTTGAGATTGCTGGTGGGTTTAGTGTAGATGCCCTCTCTTGATATCACAAAAAATGGAAAGTAGATCGTTATTCGATGTCCGGGAGGGATTCCCGGGACGAAGCTCCGACGATCTAGTTAATGTTTGTTCTCAGAGAAGAGAAATAATATCCACTCGAAAGAGAGTCCCCCTTCTTCATGAGGAAGAAGAATACTTTTATACCCGGTTCCAGAGACATGTGGGCCTCAACTGATTCCGTTGGACATTCCTTCGTAGGGTGTGACGTGGCGGACTCCTACTAGAAGATCCTTCGGCACGTCCCTTTTGTATTCTCTCCTCATTGGCTAGAGTAGGATCTTTCAATTATTACGGAGATCGTGACTATCGTTTGACGTGCACGTGGGACGCTCTGAATGGTCCCATGCTCGTCAGGATGTCATCCCTTAGTGAAGAGATTATAGCGCGGCTCTGCACCATAACTGTCACGCCTATGTCTTTCGTGTTGGCGAAAGCCCAACCTTGGCTTCAGACTTGGTCCGATAGAGTTCAGTTCAGGCAAAGCTCGGTACTAGTTTTGACTTCTCTTTTTGACGTTCCCTCTGAGGGATATGTTAACACCGACATAATAGGGTTGCGATGTATAGGGTTAGAGGGAAGGAGATTTTTAGGATAAGAAATATTTTTGCTATCATACCATAAAATCAGAATATTATTTGGTAATTCCCCCGCTTCAATAAAATAACAATAATAGAGTATGAGTTGGACATATATGAATACATATATAAGAAGATTATATATATATATATATATATATATATATATATATATATATATATATATATATATAGACACAAACACACACACACTAAGGGGGTGTTGTGATTGTTTATTTGAAGTATTTATTGACTTATTACGGCTTGACACAAATAATAAGGAGTTTTAAATGTTTGCATAGAATGATTTCATAAGTACTTATTGATTTAACTAAAAAGTTTTTGATACGTTAATTTCTACTTATTAACGTATTCAAGGTGTTTTCGATAAGTTATTTCTTAATTACACATATAAACATCATTTGCCAAACATTAAAAAATAACTTATTAACTTATTATGTTTTGATACCAAATAAGGTAAACCAAATATTTTTTAAAATTCTATTTTAATAGCAAATAAACTAATAAATACTTTTACAAAAACAACAAGTTGTTTTAAATAATCAATCTCAAACACCTTTGAGTGCGGTATTATAACAATCTAAATATTAGGGTTTATGTCATTTTTGGTCACTTAACTTTTGGTTTTGTGCTCATTTGGTCACTTAACTATTTTTAAGTTTTAAAAGGTCATTAAACTTTTGACTTTGTGCTCATTTAGTCACTTAACTTTTGGTTTGGTCATATTTAGTCACTTAACTTTTAGATTTGTGCTCATTTAGTCACCTAACTTTTAAAATTGTACTCATTTAGTCACTAAACTTTTGAAAAAATTTAAAAGTTTAGTGACTAAATGAGCACAATTTTAAAAGTTAGGTGACTAAATGTGACCAAACCAAAAGTTAAGTGACTAAATGAGTACAAAACCAAAAATTTGATGACCTTTTAAAATTTAAAAAGAGTTAAGTAACCAAATGAGCACAAAACCAAAAGTTAAATGATCAAAAATGACCTAAACCCTAAATATTAAATATGGAAATAAATGGCAATAATAATAATAATAATAATAATAAGTGAATGGTCAACTTAATACGGCACAAACCATTTCTTACTTTACACTTAATCTATCACTTTTAAAATTTTAACAAATTTGAGACATTATATATACACTCACCTGACCCTCTGTCCCAAAGTACGAAATTCATCTTGAGCTCAGTAAATTGTTAAAATTTCAACACAAACAATTGTCCACCAACAATATTTTTTCATATCATTTTATGTCATGCCAATTTTTAAGATATATACTTATTCTCTCACCACTTTTTGTTAATTTAGTACAAACGGAATACCAAGTCTTAATTTTTCAAAAAGATGTATTGCATAACTAATCCTAGTAAAATTCTAAGTTTGTCATCTAACCAAAAGTAGACGCTCCCTCTCTTTTTTGGGTATAAAAATTCAAAAATATAGTTTATTTGGATTTATTTCTGATGGTAGTCAGTCACATATATTTAAATTTGAAACTATGGACTTTTCAAATAGTAGGTTTACGTTTTTGTTGATGAACATTACCTACCACTAGCATTTCTTACTCCAACTGTAAGTTATAACATATACTTATAAATGAAAACCCAACTGCTTTTTGAATGAAAACCTAACAAAATATAGGATGGAATTGACTAGTTTCCTATCAAGAAACACTCTTAACTTCCCACTAAATTCTATAATTGACATCTTTACCCCCACCCCATTTTATATACTAGTACTTTTGACAAGTTGAACCTTTGACTTCGGAGTTGATGCTTAAATTATCCCACTAGCCTTAACACCAATGGGTGGTTGTATCATGTATGGCCATGTAGGTTTTCACACTTAACATTTGGTCGTAGGCTCAAATGCCTTTTTTTCCCTAATAACCTTTTTCAATTTCAAAAAAGATACACTAATGTAAACATCGCCATTGAAATAGCTAACAAGTTTATGTAGTTATGACCAAGTCATGATTTCATGACAAGAAACACAATTTTTTCGTAAAGTAACCGTGTAAAGGTCTCTTTACGCGACACTTTATTAAATCAAAGAACTTTAGTCCATGATATCACATTTCGTATCAATGTTTATCTTTTTGTGTAATGGTTTTAACTTAGGTTGTGTTTGGCATGCCACGGTTAGTTGTTTATTTTTCGAGCTTTTCTAAGTTGTTATGTTTGACAAGCCAAAATGTAGCTTATAAGCTAACTTATAAGGTAGCGCTTTAAAAAGCCACTTAGACTAGCTTTTTATGAGTTTTTAAAAAAAAATTCAAATATACCCTTTATTAATTAAAACATATTATTTTAAATGTTTATTTATGTAATTTTATATATTTCAGCTAACTTATCAACTAATTTTAACAAACATCATTGTTTATCTACTAGTTTTTTATATAACAGTTAGTTTTTCATTTAACTAGTTAACTTTTCAGCTAGTTCGTCAAAAATAACGTTTAACAGCGTTAGAACTATTAAACAAAAGAAATTCGGTCAACGTCTATATTGGCAAATGGGCAAATGGCAATGAATAGTATATATGAATCTATCTTTATATATATTTCATGTCAAAGAGAAAACATTTGAAATCCTCCAATTTCAACTTCTATCTTTACTACTTTTTCCTTTTTCTTTTTATCAAATAAGACTTATATGATTTCTTTTATATATGGGTCCAATCCACTTACTTTTGTTTCTAGTACTTGGCCCCTTAAGATGTGTTAATTCCTTAGTAGTCACTTTTGAGTTCATTCATAGAAGCTTCATGTTTGCATAATCATTGTAGTCTTTTCTCCTAAGTGAATACTTTTATAGCCTAATAGTGGGATTCATCCAGATTAGTGTTACCTAATTTCCACAGTTAGCGTAAAGAAAGATCAAGATACCTATTTTACATCATCAACAACAACAACAACAACAATAAACATCTACAATCTTACTGAAATGAAATAATTAAGGGGTATATAGTTATTAGATTTAACTGTTCCAAAAAACGTGTCTGGGATGTAAACTCTTGCGAAAGTTATATAGTGTTTTAAAACAGTGAGGTTTTCACTTTATAAATGCGAAATAGATTAGCATTCAAGTTCCACCATTGACATGTGTTTTTAGTATTATGAAAGAACCTTCAGGTATTTTAACAGTAACATAACAAAAACAATAATATATATTTTTGAACATAAAATCACCAAATTTGACCTAAACATCTAAACCGAAGCCGAAACAAAGGAATATTGGTTTATATATCTTGTTAAATGCTTCTGTTTATGAGTTATACTATATGCAAATATATTTGTATTTTCAATAATGTGATTCATCTTTAATGATAATAATAACATTCACACACATTATATTTGTGTTATTTTGCTACGGATATCAAATTTAATTATAGTTAATTATATTCGATTACGTCGTTATATTTGTGCATGCCAAGAAGATTCGATTTGTTATGGGGATATATTAATTGACGAAATTCTTAACCATTTTAAATATTAGAAATATATTCTTCACTTTTCTTTATTAAAGTTACCCATAAAAGCAAGTATTGAAACTTTTGGATGGAATTCTCGAAGATTGGTATATCTATTGACTATTATTTATTTTTTAAATAAATGTGTTTAACTTTTGATAGTAATAAATTAGAAATTGTTTCCGTAAAAGTATAAAACTGAAACATTATTCCTTTTTAAGAAGGGGCAGTTTTAAACAAACGTTATTACAGTTATTGAATATTTGATTCTTGTGATATTACAAAACCAGCTCTATAAACAAGGTAGTTAACAAAAATAATATCATGAAGACACACATTTCAGGCTAGTTATGATCTCTGTTATATACAACTACATCTTGAAGACACATGTTCTCTACCACTTGAATGAATGCGGTGATAAACATACTATCATCTGAGTCGTCATCTGGAAATTCATCTTTCAAGTTGATGTTTACTTTACATGTGAAGTTTTAAAATTTTAGAATTTAAAAAAAAAAAAAAAAAAGTAGTTGAAGATGATTAAACAATTGTTGTGTCCCATGGCTACGTGTACACCACAGTCCATATATGGCCATGCCACCAAGTGCCCACACATACCAAAGTCGGGTGCATGCCATGAATTTTTTGTTACATTATCGCCATATGAGTAACATGTCTCATAGATTACGAGGTAAAATGTTATAATAAGTTATTACATTATTTTACAATATTCCATATCAATCATGAAGTAGCTAGTATTGAGCCTTGGTTACCTGTTTTGGTGGCACAATTTTGTGGGCGAAAGCCGAAAAGCATCCAAGTGGTTAGAGCAATAATGGATTTCATTAGCATATTCGTTGCTATCCACATTTGTGTGACTCAAGTGCATGCCACGTAATCAAATCACAATATATAATATAAGTACATAAATTGATAAATTGCAGGTATTTTTAAAAGTTAAAGATAACCAAAATTTAGATTATTTATTTTAATAAGAAAAACATGACGATGTCATGACGAGTTTGCACACCAGTCTTCGTTACTATTCATAGAAAATGACGGGTGTTACGCACTTACGCCATAAATTTTATGATAAAATAATATGATTTTATATTTATGTAAAATGAAAGAATAATCGTAATTCTTCGCTACTTGTATTAATATTTAATAGGACAATAATCGTGTCTTTTTGCCAGAAAATCGAAACGTTATGAGACATAAATTTGCACTCGGTATCTCATACTTCTTTTGATTAAAGTTAAATGCAACTAAATTTTTTCGTATTTAAATAGCAAGTTGTAAAATTTGATAAATAACAGAATATTAGTACATTTTTATTTATTATTTTCCAAAAATAATGATAAATATTGGACATAAAAATGATAAAAAAATGAAAGAAAGCCACAAAAACGGAGGGTGGTAGGCATGAACCGAGTGGGAAGTAGGAAGTAGGAAGTAGTTGTCGCTCAATAGGCCCCATAACCTTTTTTTTCCTGAATATTTTATCCGACTTCAAAATAAA